GGAGGATGATGATGTGTTTTTGGATGTTTTTGGAGAAAGTACAACGTTATCATGGAAAAACACCTACATACAGACCCTGAAACAGGTGCTTGCTGATGAGACTAGGTGGTGAGCCATGGTGAGCCTGTCTTCTTTGGCACTGAAATGATTTTCTTTCCCAGGCCGAACAACCTGCAATCTCCCAGGATTTGGACACCGAGCTGCACGAGGTTCAACAGGCCAGCCTGCCATAGCAAACGAAGCCACCGGTCCAAAAAGGTCGGCACGGAGACGGTGGAGATGATGGAGTCGGACATGAGTGGAGATCAGTCATGAGGTTATGATACCCAATATTGGCCCAGTCCATTGGCACATTCCATTGGCTCCACTTCTGCTTTTCAAGAGGGTTCCCCCCTCCCCAAGTGGCAAGGAAGAAAAGAACAACTCACGGTGGGATAAGGGCGTGGTACCTATTGGTACCCATTGGTTTGATGGGTTGTTAAACTGTTTTCATTTTTTTAAGACTCTCCGAATCAGAGCAGATTTTGTAACCTGGAAGCACCACATTGCGCCCAGTGGCGCACAACGGGGGTTCCGGCACAGTCGGTTTGATCTCACATCGTGGGCTGGTGTTGGCATTTCACAGGCGCATTGGAACTTTGCACGCTGCTTGGTCGAGGGCGATCCGCAAGCAGCGCCAAGTGAGAGCATGCCAAGCCTGAAGAGCATGGTGAAGCCATTCGCTTGGGAAAAGCTCAAGGCCACGGTTCAACGAAGCTTGGCATTGTGTAGCAGTTCCAGTTTGCAATGATTTGGTGTTCTTTTTGAGTCCCATCCACCGAAAAGGATGGCCATCTCCCTACTCTCCCTACTCAGCACGCACCCCGTGAAAACACGGAACGAGGATGGCAACCAACGCGGAACGCGTTTTTTCAAGAACTGGGACGCGCACGCGGGTCACGCAGTTCCAGCACGAACCATGGTGACAAGCAGTTTTTGGTCCACCAAACGTGTGATCTATGGACAGTATATTGACATGAACGAATCCAACATTCTATAAATGCAAAGTTCAATGTCATGTTGCACCAGCTTCTTCAAGGGAGTCTCACAAGATTGTTTTCGGAGCTGTGTTGGGTTGGGTCAATGTGTCGGAATGTGTTCGCAGCGCAAAAGCTGCCATGATTTTTTGCTGCAAGCTCCAAAAGACTTGGTCAGACAGAGAAGCCATGCCGAGCAAAAATACTTGTAATTAGTCCGGCTGTCTGTCCGCTCAAATTTCCACCGACTTTCCGCTGTCCGCTTCTAAGTATCTCCAACAACATTTGTGATATTTGCTTCGTTTTTCAAAGCTGTCCGCAATCTTAGCTTGAAGTTTTCCTCGCTAGTAGTAACAAGTGCCTTACTAGTAGTAACAAGTGCCTTACTAGTAGTAGCAAGAAGCTACTAGTAACAAGTGCATCGCTAGTAGTAGCAAGTGCCTTACTAGTAGTAACAAGAAGCTACTAGTAACAAGTGCATCGCTAGTAGTAACAAGTGCCTTACTAGTAGCTTGAAGTTTTCCTCATCTCCTTCTCACAGTGATCCTTCTGGGCGGCGAGGTATTCCCCTTTTTTTTGGGGGGGCGGCGAGCTCTTCCTAGAAGAGCTCTCCACCCTCAACTTTCAATTTAGTATTTAAGTCTTCGAAGGTGGATGCGGGCGGCGGTTTCTATGAATGGCCGTGTTTGGCAAATCCCTTTTGCTTTGATGGTGAATGTGGCCACTCGCGGTCTCCACTCTTCCCACAAGAGCTCTCCACCCTCTTCACTTTTACCTTCCTTTTGGCAGTCATGGTCTGGAATGCCAATGTCACTATGTCACTATGTCTAAAATCCACTATGGATCCCCTAACCCCTTTAGTAAGGACTGAGTAATTATTGAGGGCTGAGAGCTGTTCCTGGAAGGGATGGGTATACGGTCTCGGCATTTTTGGGATTGATCTCCGGGACCCACAGTTGACCTATCTCTCACTGTCTCCTGACAACTCCCGAAACACGCCGTGCCAACTGTTCCGTGCCAACTGTTTTGCCAACGTCTCTTCGTCCGGCTGGAATCCGCGCCGATCAAAGCGGCTGGAATCCTCGCCGAGGATTCCATCAAAGAAGCTTAGAAGATCCGGAGATCCCACCCAAGGTGGGCGAGATCGCAAGCAAATTTGAAGCTATTAATAGGTGGAGGCCGTCGCTATTAGATGGAGGCCATCGCTATTAGAAACGAAGAAAAATGACAAAGTCGCACGGAGCATGGACCCCCGGATGGGTTTGAAAGCCGATGGTCCCAACGGTGTTGGACATGTTTGGGAGGTCGTTCCGTTCAATGTGTAGCTGTTGATCAGTTGATCCATGGATCTTGAGATGCTCAGTAGAAGTGGGGAGAAGTGTTTTAGGCGGTGATGGGGGTGGATTCCGGGGTGGATGTCACGCTGATGCAGCCAACTTAGATTCATTAAACATCATAAAACAGATTATATAAACAAAGGCAAACAACATCATTCAATGGAGGATCCAAAGTCGTCGACACCTGAAGCTTTCCCCATCTCCATTTTCTGGCGCTTCCCGGGCGTCCGAACGCCCGCGAGAACCAAAGCACCTGGGGGGGGGCGCTGGCTTCTTCGTTTTGGGTCGATTCGGGGGCAGTGGCGCTTCGTCAATCAGCAAGCAGATCCAGGTGATCCAGCAGATCCCTGTGAAGCTTCCAGGGCAAAGTGCCTGGGTCGTCACCTCCAACGTCTCCATCCACCGCATCCGAGGCGCCTGGGACCCGTCCGAAGCGGGTAGGTCCTACCCAGCGGAAGCGTTCAATTGTACGCTCCAAGGGCGGCCATGTGCCTGGGTTCCATGTGATTCCCTACCAACTGAGTGGGCTTCCTTGCATTCTTTTGTTTTATTTGAGGTCTCAGGTCTATGCACATTAACAATGGATCTGCGACATAAATTAGCCTTTGGCAGACTGCTTTGTGTCCTGGTGTGAGGTCTGTGCCTTACCCATCCAAGGCTTCTGACCCGAGGTTATATATACAGCTAGGGGCCCGGATGGAATGAACACTCCGGCACTTACATCGACCTCTCGGGAGGCCTCATATGCCCCACCCTTTGGGGAATTGAGTGATTTAACTCATACATACGATACTCATGCGAAACACCTGCTTGAGAAACAGTGACAGATCGGTTCGGTTTCGCCACCCAGCTGAGCTGCGGACTTTTTGCGAACTCAGGTGCCAACAAGGTTTGGCTGCACTTGAAAGGATTCCACCCAGAAAGATCCAGAACTGCGCCACTGGAGGGTATTCAAGAACGGTGAGCAGGGCATGGCCATTTGACCTGCTGTATTGAGTCGACTGTATAGCTTTGCAGCTGCTAGAACATGGAAACTGACAGAGCAGTGATTGCAACTGCAGGAACAAACTGGACGCAACTGGAGAACAGATCATTGTAGGCATACAATCGCTTCAATAGTCTTCAATGCACCGTCCAAACAATGACAGAACAGTCCCAGAGAGGAACATCATTTTCTCTCTCTCAACCATCCTTCTGGTTGTTTTAAGTTTCAAAACGGAACTCGAGCCAGTCGCCAGTGGAGGGATGACAAAAAATCATCACACTCTGGCACTAGCGGCCGTGGCTGGAACCAAAGAAAGGGGTCAGTTGGCTCAAACAGTCAGGACATTAAATGATTTTTTGCATATTTCTGCTGTGTAAGATTTGTAAGAGACATCAATTTCATGGTTTGTCCTAATATTTTTCAAGGGTCGCAATCTACTCGAGCCATACCCTGTTCCACACTGCCGTTTCTCAAGGTGCGAGTTAGGCTCCGAATCAAAGACATGACTTCTCCGCACGTGTGCCGAAAAGCTTGTCTCACAAATGCGCTTGAGCACTGCACGCTTGCAAACACTAGCACGTCTCGTGGCGAAAAAAGCAAAGGAGAAGCACCACAGCTGCAGTTCACGTCCTCCTGAGCCGCCCTCCCAGACCTCCCTCCTTTTTCTCAGGTCGACTGTGAGATAGACACCCTTTGGGTCACTTCAACACGGGATGCCACACCTCTATACAACTGGAAGGGGTGCGCAATACTTTCCTGCAAGTCAACTGATTGTGAAGCTTTCAATGAGGATACACGAAGATACTGAACTGTTTGGATATATCAACAGGTTCATCAGCTTGGGGCATGCGGCTGAGTTGCTTCATTCGCGAGTTGCAGCGGCTTTGACGTCGTACCCCAGGAGGGCCTCCCCGGGTTCTTGGAGTGTCTAACAGGCCAACCCTGAAGGGGTATACTGTGGCCGTCGTTCAGCTTGCCCTGTGACCTGACCCAGTCCCACGAGGCTTCAGTTTCTCTGTTCATCAAACGGTGGCCAATGCCAAGCGTTTGGTCAAAACACCATGGAGGCTCTTTAATCAGGGCACCACTCAAAAAGTAGCTTTCTCTATGTTGATGAACATCTACTGCTGGTGGCTCGACCGGAAACTCCGCTGTCTCATGGGGGAAAACCCAAGGCATCCCAAGCCCTTCCCGAAATGACGAGGCTCCTGGTTGGCATCCCACTTACAGTGCTAGCTTTGCCAGGTGGTGGTTTTGGATACATATCCTTGGAATTATTGAACCCACTGACTAATAATATGTTTGACTTGAAACCACAATCAGCATGCTTTTGTTTTGACTCAGGTTGTTGGAGCACTGGTTGGACTCTCCCACCTTAAAGTGGCCCTTGGTAACCTTCATCACTAGTACCGGTCATCAACGGATTTGTTTAAGGGAAATTCTACAGGAAACACTGGTTTTTACTTCTAAACTATGGGTGTGCTGTAGATCTTCCCTTAAATCAATTCTGAGTGGTCCCTCAGTCTGAGTAATCTTCACTAGCCTTTACTATCCGCTGCAATGCTGGCGAGAAAACCAAATTGTGAATCCCAGACCATCCATTTTATGACCCTTTAGTGATGTTCCATAGGTCTAGGTCTAGGGATGGTTGTTCTTCTCTAGGACACCGTGGCTGCTGCAGTCCTCACCCACGCGCAGCTTCTGGACGCTGGTCTGCACTGCAGTACCTCAACTCCTAGGGGGGCTTGCTCAAGTCAGCACCCCAAGAAGTTGTTCCAGTTTTGCCAGAGACTGTCCAGGTTGTGAATTTACCCCTTCAGAAGCAAAGAAAGAACTATGAACATGTTCAATGAAATTACAAGACATGGATGCATCTGAGAGACACATCTGGAAGCATCATGAAGCATTTAAGGCCGCACAGTCAAAACTCTCCGGTGCCTGTTCGTCCAAGATCATCAAAACTCCAAAAACTGCCTGCTTTTAGGCGCAACAGCCGCCGAAGAGCCGCTGTAGCACCTTGTTGGTGGCACCCCAGTGCCACGCACTCGAAGACTTTGAGGTCGAGTCAGTCGGTTTTCGGTCGCAAGATGGTCGCAGGTTTGTCGGGAAGCCCAATCCACAAGGAGAGGAAGCTGAACGTTTTTTGTTTTTTGGGGTCGCTGAAAGAAGTTGACGGGCTGCAGTCATAGGCCATAGGGAAAGATCGGATCCATGAGGCTTGGCTTGGCAGCTGTCAACATCTCATCATGCGTGCGTGCCTGCGAGTGTGTGTGTGTGTGTGTGAGTTTAATGTTGGTTATGACTTGTTCCCGGTTTGGTGGGGCATTTCGACATGATGAGATTAACTTGTGGGAATCTCTCTGAGCAATCCAA